GCGGCCGGGGCGCGGCGGCGGCGGCGTCTCCGCGCGCGGCCCCAGGCTGAGCCGCGCCGCCCTGCGCGTCCTCGTTTTGCCACAGAAAATCGAGCGGCTGAAGTCGGAGCTCCACCTGCTGGACGCCGAGGGGAAGCAGCCGAGTAGGCACACGTTCTTCTTCGACACCCGGAGGGAAGGTGAGGCGCGGGCTGCCGCCGGCTGGGCGGGGAAGCGGCCTGGGTAGGCTTTGCCTCCGGGCGGGACGCTGGGAAAAGGCAGGGCTGCTTCATTAGCGCCGCTGAAAAACCAAGGCTTTGCTGGGAAGGTTTCCAGCCTCGCTGACTTGATGAGGCTGCCAGCGACAGGCCGCCGGATCGCAGCAAGTCATTATTTTTATTTACGTTAACCTTTTTACTCCAGTCTCTAGCTCACACAGAGTGACTTACAAGTGTCATTGATATTTGTCCCTGTCCTGTATAACAAAGGAAAATGGAAAGGGGAGGAGTGGAGTGGAAGAAAACAACTTTATTTGCAAGTTGCCTAGAGTCACTTATATAGTGAGATGGCGGCATATAAATTTGATTAATAATAAATAAACTCCAAATCCCATACTAACAATTTTTATAAAGGCTAGCTGGGATGGAAACCAGGGGTGCACACAAAGCAGAACGTGTGTTGTTTTGTGATGAAACAGATACTTTGAGTCTTGGAAGTTTTACCAAATCGTTCTAGGTGAGTTGCAGTTCAGGCAGCTCAAAGGGCAAATAGGTGGTCTTCTCTTGTGTGGCCTGTGCACCAGCCCACTATAAATCTTGCCCTTGCCTGCACAGGACATTTTTCACATTCCTCAAGACAATTCAAGGAGCCTGATAAAATGGCTGCTGCTCTGTAACAGTGAACCTTGTGTTCTCGTGCTCTCTTCTTGCAGGTGGTAGAATAGCGCTGGTTTTTTTTAAAATCCAATTTATATAGCCATCCATCTCATATATATACAACTCTGGGTGGCTTACAGTTAAAACAATATAAAACAAACAAACACAGTACTTTAAATAAATATATAAAACAAAAAACCCATCCTAAAATATGTAAAATTTGTAGCCGAGGTAATCACATACACCAAAACACTCAGTATAGCTGCTGCACTGGCTCTGAGGTGCTCCCAGATCCCCTTGTCCATTGGCAAAACCATGTTTGAAAGGACAGCATGGTTGGGGCCATTCAGGTCTCAGGGAGGGATGATGTTCCATGGGGCAGGTGCTGTGGCAGGTGCCATAGCAGAACAGGCTCTCTGGCTGATGAATCCTGGAGCGTGACCTGATGAGACAGGTAGATACAATTGGAGAGAGACAGACCCTTAAATAACCAGGTCCCATGCCATGAAGGGTTTTATAGGTCATCTTGAATTGAATCCAGAAGCAAATTGGCAACCCATGGAGCTTGTGGAGCAGAAGCGTAGCGTGTGTTAATCACAAAGTGCACACACCTGCCCATGCTGCCACATTTTGCACCAGTCAAAGCTTCTGAATGTTCTTCAAGGGCAGCACCATGTCCAGGACCAAGAACAGGCACAACTGGTACAAAACACAATGTGCAAAGGCCCTCCTGGCCACAGTTGCCACCTGTTCTGTTTCTTGAATAGGAGCTGCAAGTCCAGGAGGACCCCCAAATTGTGCACAGATTCTGTTTTGGGGTAGTGCTACCCCATCCAGAAGAAGAGATGGAAACTCCCCGGAACTAAGGGCCCCAGCACCCAAAGCCACCCAGTCTTCCTTAGTTGAGCTGAAGCCTGTTGTTCCCTGTCCAAACTCCCGCAGCTTCCAGGCACCAAGACAGGACCTCCACAGCATCACTTAGTCAGCCCATGGTGGAGATATAAAGCTGGGTATCATCAGCATACTGATGACACCTCGCCCCATGCTGTCAAATAACCTCACCCAACAGCTTCATGTAGATGTTAAACAGGAGTGCAGAAAGCACCAGACTCTGCAGCACCCCACAAAGCAGGGGCCAAGGGTGGGACTTCTCCCCCTGATCAACTTGGACTGGAACCAGCCCTCAGGAAGGAAAAGAACCAGCACAATACAGTGCCGCCCACTCCCAACCCACAGAGCCTCTCTACAAAGATCCCATGGTGGATGGTATTGAAAGCCAGCAAGAGGTCAAGAAGGGCAAGGATGGACACACTACCCCATCCCACTCCCACCAGAGGTCATCCAGAAGTGTGATTTCAGTCCCATACCCAGGTCTGAAATCCCGACTGAAAGGGCCCAGCAGCTTCTTTCAGGGTTCTCAGAAGCTGCTGTGGGAAGGGAAGGTTGGAAACTGGACAGAAATTGTCCAGAACAGTAGAGGTCTAGCAATGGCTTCTTGAGGAGGCAAACCACTACCTCTTTAAGAGGAGGAGGGACACCCACCTGTCTCATGGAAGAATTCACCACTGCCAGCACCCAGCTTCTGCTCTCTCTCTCTGTTGCAACTCTTCTAAGTGAAGTAGCGTGCCTGGGTTATTTGACCTTTTTCTGCTCCTGTAGCACATTTTCTTTGAGGCTGGCTTTAATTGGTTTGTAAGCTGGGAGTCGGTGGAGGAGGGTCCAAATGATTTAGAGACACCAGCCTCTCCTTTTCTCAGTGCAAGGTTTTGACATTGCCCTCCATCTGAACACTGCTCCTGAGCTGGTCAGCAGAGTGTACAACAGGCCAGTCCTCGAAACCCTGAAGAAAAAAGCTGTTTCAGGGATCACCGCTGATGGCCAGTTACAGGTCTGTACTGCTGGGGCTTATCGGCTGCCTAGAGATTTCTCTCTCGCTCAGTTTAGTGGGGGGAAGGAGCAATCCTTTGTGTAGGTACCCTGAAGTCAGTCAATGGAGAGAAAAGAGCACCTCAGTTGCATTGTATGAGCCAAGATGAGAGAGCTGAGTGGGGATTTGCCTGCCTTCTGCTGGAACAGAGGAAAAGGTTTACACTCTTGTCTGGGGTGCTTTCAACCCTGTCCTCCTCCATGGGAACAGGCAGGAAAAGGTCAGGATGGACAGAAGCCCACTCTGACTGTCCATGGTGCTGGCAGTCCTGATTGGACTCAGGGGGTTTTCTTGTTCATGAAACATGCTTCAGAAGGAAGTGACCGACTCCCAGCTTCTTTGGTGGCTGCTGGGAGTTGATGGAAAGTGGCCGTTCACCCTTTCCAAGGGACTCCAGCAAACCTGTGGTAGGCGCTGGGGACTGTGGGGCAGATTTAACTCTGGGAAGATGGGATGGGAGCCTCTGTTGTGCCACTGGGACCAGGGCAGTTGGTGCGGCAGCTGGAGCGACAAGCTGAGCTACAGAAGAGAAAGAAAATATTCTCCCTGCTGGCACAGATTCCAGGCTGTTCAGCCAGGGGAGCCTCTTTCAGGGCTAAGTCCGGCTTCTTCCTCCGCACACTCTTGGCTTGGCTTGGTCTCCTGCGAAGCTGGAGGGGAGGGGAGCTCGATTCTAGCAGTTATGATGGAGTCGCACCAGGCTGCCTTTGGGTTGGGCAGGACTCGATGGGGGATGCGGGGCGGGGACATGTGAAGGTTGCCCAGAACCACTGAGAGGGAGGCAGCTGGAGGGGATGATAGTAAGTTCCCCCACCCTCTGGCTGGCTTATTGCTGACATCCCTGGACTAGTTCAGGCTGGTGGGTGTTCTCTCCCAGGAGACATGAATCGTCATCTGCAGGTGGGACAAGTTTGGATCTGTCCTGTGTGACGGTGCTAATTAGCTCACACCTGCCACAGTGGGGCTGTGCTCAGGAACTTGGGCTTGTGGGGTTGGCAGCCTGGAGCCTGGGTGCAACAGGAACTGGAATCAGCCAGCCCCTGCCCCCTCTGGTTCTCCTCCTGTAAAGCCGGAGCAGCGTCCCTCGTTTGCAGCTTCTGAACGCTTCTGTTGGGGTGGGCAGAGGTGTCCCTGCCTGAACCTTCTTTTTCTGGAGGGCCACCTTTGCCTGCCCTCAACAGCCTGGCTGCCGAGGGCATTTACAGGGAGGGCTTGGGGCAAGGAGAGCCTGCCTAGCACCAGTGAAGGAGGCAGGAGCAGCTCTGAGCATTTTCCACACCTCAGGATGACTCTGGTGAAAAACGGCATGTTTCTTCTCTGTCTCTAGAGGCTAGCCCGGCAGAGGAAGGGTCAGTACAGCCTGCTGAGGCAACGCATAGAGCGTGAACGGAAGATGTTTGTCATTGCACAGAAGCTCCAGACCCGAAAGGATCTCTTGGTGAGGAGACCTCTTTATTGGAGCTGCAGCACGTGGCTTCTGGTCCTGCTGTTCTTGAGAGGTGTTGAGAACAGGAATCCCTCTTTCCTTCCTTCAGGGAATTTTGTTCTTCAGGATGTACATGGCCGCCAGCTCAGAAAGACCCATGTCTTTTTCTGTGGGGAGGCAACTGGCTGATGGGGCCAAGGGGCTGGGCTGGGCTGGGCACCTGGCCCTTCTCTGGAAGCAAAGGCCAGTACTTGGAAGGGTGTGTTGCCTAAGAAAACTTCTTTCCTCTTGATTTCAGGACAAAACTCAGAGAGTGAAGCTGAAGAAGGAAACTGTAAATCAGCCAGCAATCTACAGGTTCCAGTTTAGACGGAAACGCTGACTCTCCTGTTCTGTGAAGAGGGGTGTCCTCCATTGGATTGCTTTGGGAACCCCTGCCTACAAATGCCCTTTTTCTTTGCCTTAGATTTATCTTATGGTACTTTTTCAATAAATCCAGCAAGTGCTGCTGTGATTGCACTGCCACCCATTCCACGCTGCCCTGTCTGGGAGTTGTCCTTGGAGCATGGCTGACCACTGAGCCCGGCTGCTCCTTTTTCCATTCCCCATGACTGGGGAGAAGAAAGCCTGACCCTGGGCCAAGTGGGGGGGAAGGGGAAGGTAGGGAACTGGGGCAAGCTGCCTCTTGCACTGTGGATAGTTCTGGAGGCTGGGAGCCGCTGGGCCAGCCTGTGATGCAAATATGGAAGGCGGAGGTTGCACTTCTGCGTGCTTTACGATTTGGTATTGTACCTGTGCTTAAATTCCCTGCAGGCTTCGGGGCAAGAGAGGGGAGTTGGTAGGCACAGAATACACATGCTTGGAATTGAATAGGTGTGTCTTTCAATGGCAGGGTGAGTGTTCCTGGAAACTGGGCAAAAGTGGGTGAATGGATGCCCAGCAGGTGGCAGCGCTGTTCCACGGAAGGCCGGGCTGCGCTGGGCCGGGCCTCCTGGGAAAACGGCTTTGACAGCTGTTGTGAGACCTTGGCTCTAATCAGAGCAGGGCCTTGTGGGCTGGGGGGCTTGCTTGGACTTCCCCAGCAGACACGCTGGAGCTAATCGGATGGGCTGGACACTACTTTTTCCCCTGACCGTCTGAAGTCTTTGTCCCTAAAAGATAACGGCTGTGTTAATGGGAGATGGTGAACCACATGGTTTGTTGCAATGTGTGGGGCTAAAATGTGGCTGGCAAATCTGGTTTGTGGTATTATGCCAGCCTTTCCAGGGTAGGTGAGCAACCGAGAGGATTTTATGGGAACAGAGGCAGAATTCTGGCTGGCTTGTGGTTTCTCCCTATTTCTATTTTTGGTTTCTCTTATTTCTATTTTCCTGTGGCTTCCTCCCTCTTTTCTTCAGTCCCATGTGTGTGTCTTTTGCTGGAGGAGGAGGAGGAGGAGGAATTCTCTGCATGGCCTTTTTCCTTTCTGCCCAACTGTGGGGCGTTGGGAAACTTTCACTGCTGGAATGCAGGAAGGGTTTTAAAGGGTTGTCCTGTGAGCCCATAACAAGCTGATGAAAGTTGTGGACAATACTGACGATTCAGGTAGATTCAAAAGCAATTGCAAGGAGCTGCAGCAAAGTCTTTTCCAATGGGGGGGGCTGGCAGACTCATTAGCAGAGCCAGCTTGTAGTGGTGGAGGTGCTGCCAAGAAACCAGGAGATGGTGAGTTCTAGGCTTCCCTCAAGTATGAAAGTCGGCGGGTGACTCATAGCAGGGTTATTGTGGGGAAAATAGGAGGATGGAGTTTTAGGTATGTTAGCTGCCTTGAGTTGACCCCCCCCCCGAAAAAACGTGGGATAAAAATATGAAATGATGCACACGGAGGATCAGAGCAGAATGCTCAGTGAGGGTCGTTCAGAGTGCAGCAGCCGTGAAAAAGCAAATTCTGTAGTGGGGATCGTTAGGAAGAAGTTTGAAATAAATCTGCCAACCCTTGTAATGCCTTTAAACGAATCGCCCCACAGCGCGAAACTGACGAAGATCCGAAGGGCGGCGGCAGGCAAGCGAAAACCGCCGCAGCCGCAGAGTCCTTCGGCTTGCTGGGGCTGCTCTTCCGCACAGATTCCGATTCCGAGCGGCTGGAGGGCCGGCATGGGCTCGCGACGAGGCGGGGAGAAGCGCAGCGGGCTGAGCGGCTGCCTCGGCCGTCCTGCGAAGGGGCCAAAGTGTCCGGGAGTTCGGCAGCCCGAGCCGGGCTGGGCTGGGCTGAGCGCGGGAGGTCTGGCACAGGTCAAGCCAGCCGGCTGGCGGCTTCCGGGGTTCCTGCACCGGGGCTCTGGCTTCTGCAAAGTTATGGCCAGCAGCTGGCTTAAACCGTGGCCCCCTTTCAGGAAGGTGGGGGAACCCCAAGAGAGGAGGCCCCCCGCCCGGGCTTCCCCGGGGAGCTGGCAGGAGCCCATTGCCGCTTGGCTGCTGCGGGGCTCAGCCGGCGGGCAGAGGAAAGGACAGCGGGGCAGGGCTGTGCGCGACGGCAGCGGCTTCCTTCGCTGCAGCTGGAGCGGGGGCTGTTTGGCTGCTCGTCAGCATCTGGGAACTGTGTCCCTGCGAGGTTTGATACAATTTAATTAACCTAATTAAAAGCTCTGATTGCAGAGATGATTGGGGTACAGCCAGCAGCAATGGCATCTTTATGAGCTGGAAGGTGTGGGATCTCAGCCAAATGATATGCATCTCTAATGAGCTGGTGCGCTGGGAGCCTTTGGAACGCGCGCGTTTATTTTTGGCAACACCCGCGCGTCTCTCCCAGACAAAGGTGTGGGAGCAGTCCTCTTTCTTCCCTCTCCCACCTGCCCCCTTGCTACAGACAAGCCCAGGTGCAAAGCCCATGGGGAGAAAGTAAGACGACCTTGGGGGCCCCCCTCTCTTCCCCCATCCTGTGTTGCTCTGGACACTCCACCCAAAGCAGCCTCCCGTCTTCCTTGGTCTTCCCCTCCTCCTCGGCGAGAGCTAGACCCGGAGCCCGTCCTCCGCCTGGCAGCAACGCTCCAAGGATTCGTAGGAAGAGTTTTTCCAACTATTTTGTCTGAGGTCCCTGAGAGGCGATGAGAAGAGCTTTGCCTGCAGCTTTCTGTGTCATCAATTCCAGGCTGTGATGGGGCTGACCATGGCAGGTGACTGGTGACTAAATGGATTTAAAAAAAAAAAAAATGGAAAGTGGGATTCAGAAAGATCAGAAGTACAAGGAAGGTTTTCTCCTCCCCTCCAGTTACCACGTGTGATTTTTACACTGTTTTACGCATTGGCCAGTTCGAGGGAGGGCTGGTCAGCTCAAGGGTAGCCCCAGAGACCTTATGTGGCAGAGAATATGAGGCAACCAGCCAGCATCCAGTGTCCGTGGGCTCCCAAGTGAGAGCTGACTGGCCAGGCGGTTAGGAGAACGCCCAGGGGTGCCTTATTTTGCTGGAATCTGGTGCATTAAAGAAATGCCTCCTTCCCCCTTTTCCTGGCCCCATGCCAGTCCAAGAAGCAGGCAAGGCATAGAATCACTGAGGTTTGTGCAGGGATCCAGATTAGAGCCTGCTTTCTCCAGATGGCTCTCTAGCTTCCCCTTGAACCCAACTTGTGAAGGGAAGCCCAACCCCTCTTGAGTCATTGGTCCACCTGTCCAGAGGTCTGTGGTGCATCTAGACATGTCTCCCATGACCTCCCCTCCTTTCAAGTGGTCCTATTGCCACAAGGGGGTAAAATGCAGCTTTCCCAGGAGGTCTTCCTCAGTTACCCCAGTGAATAGATGTCCGGAAGACAGACCGTCATATTTCGATGAGGGGCTCTGCTGGAAGATGAAGGGTGCTTTGTTGGGACTGGTGGGCAGCATCTGCCTTTGCTCCTTCAAGCAGGCAGAAAAGAGCCAACCAAATGAGAGCTCGGTTCCTGGGGGCTCCTGGTGTTTTGGAGCTCTGCAGCTGGATAATGCATCTCCCCTTCGGATTGGCTGCTGTCCACCTGCAGGCGTGGTCCTGGAGGCCAGCTTTCGAAAACAAGCCACAAACTGCCATCCTCCCGGGCTGTCTCGCCCACAGGGTGGCTGTTGTGTTCCCTGGAAAAAGGGTCTCCCATCCATGCCCACGTGTGGCTGCTGACAAAGAGGCCTAGGGCTGCCTGCCCCATGCTGGTGGCATCTGGGCAAGAATGTCCCCCTCCATTCTGTATAGTAACAGAAGGACTTTGAAACTGAGATGGTTCCTTTGAGGCAGTCGGGAACAGAAGCCAAAGGGGTGGCACCTCTCACCGTGGTTGTGGTGGGTCTTCTTCCAGCGTATTGTTCCAATGGAAGCCCATGGCTTTAAGGCCCAGACTTGCTTGCCTGAAATGAGAATCAAGCATGGCAAGTGCCACAGCTATGTGTGCCTGTTCAGAAGAAGGCTCCATCAACTTCCATCAAATATTTTAATTGTGAGCCACCCAGAGTCACCCTCTGGGGAGATGGGCGGCATATAAATTAAATAAATAAATAAATAAATAAATAAATTCATTCATTCATTCATTCATTCATTCATTCATTCATTCATTCATTCATTCATTCAGTGGAACTACTGTACAGCCAATCCATAAGAATAAAACCATATAAGACCAGTGTGGGATCCAGTCAAGATCCATCTTAGTCCAGCACTGTTTCTGGCTATGGTCATCCAAAAACAAGAGATGGAGACATATCTCCCTCCTGCTGAAGACATCCTATTTGCTGTCCCCTCCTTCTCTCTTGCATCACTTCTGCATGATGATCAAAGGAGCAGTGTTGCTCCAACTGGTGAGGATCCAGCAAGGTTTCCTTCTCTGGCTTTGCTGCCAGAAGTTTTCAGCAGCTCCCCGTCTGCAGCAAGAATGGGAAGTGTCTGACTGACAAAGGTAAAGATCCTGACTGGCACCATTTCAGGGTCTGCTTAAGATATGTTAGCATCACCCATGCCAAAGTGACAAGTATCACATATGGGATTGGGCTGCTTGTGGCAGAAATTTTCCATGGCAGGGATCCTTTCAGGTGCTTAAGGAAGAACACTAGTCCCTGCAGATTCCTGGGAAACTCAAAATTAAATTTCTCCCCTTCCATGTTGCAGAGCTTCAGGAGGACGCTGGTAAAAAGGAATGGCACGGCTCCTTTCTTCCCCAGTTCTCCCTCCCCCCAACTTCCCCTTGAGGTCTCGGTTGGGGCTCCTCAGCCCTGCTCTGGTCTCACCCTGTTCATCTGCTCACTGGAGGGCCTGGCCTCTTCCTAAATATCACTCCACCTTGAGCCTTGTAACAGAGCAAGCTGTCATAAAGAGTACTTTGGAGCACATGTAGCACTCACTGCTAGCGCTGAAGTCAAGGATGTCAAGATCAAAGCTAGTGCCAGAGATTGTGGGCACTTAAATCTATGTGAGAAATAAGGAGCTCCTTCAAGAGTGTGCAAAGTAAAAAAACAAAGCAGCTGCTGTGTTGGGTTGTTGCTGTGAACAAGCTGAGTGAAACTCTAGATGGTTTTCAGGTGAAAAGGAGCCTGGGTCTCATACACT